CGAATGAAGTGCAGATCGAAGGAGGAAGCCTGTCGTAGACTATTGAATGATGATACATGGCAGAGGATTGAAAGCGCGTCAAGGCGTATCTGCGACATTGTGCGGTCTAATACTAAAACCACACTTGGAAGAAAATTTGACGTACTCTTGAGTGAGCGTAGGTAGTTTGTCTAAGCTTAAACGAAGCAATCCGGAGATCCAACAACGGTCGATAATTTTAGATCAATCCCAAACTGATAACACGGCCAGGGTCACTGTTTTAGGCAACGTTAACATCTCTGCTCACGCTGTAGACCTACTAAGCTTGGGACCATCCTTTGCGCCAACGCAAAACGTTGATTGTAAGGTCTTCCGCAAAGTACTAGACTCTTTGCAAAGATTTAGAGATCAGCTACGGACCAAGGTCAGGCTTGATACCAACCCACAAGCTTCTGTTCTTTGTAGAAGACTGTTACCCTCAATACCTTTTCCGTCGTCGTTCTACAAAGAACCCGAACCCTGCCACGAAGCTGATGTTAAATTTCGTATACTGTCGGCTGGCATTCTAAACTGGATAAAAGTCGCAGCATCAAACAATCTAACTTAACTCACGCACAAAGGCAGGGATTCAAGGAGCTACGTGAATTTACATCTAATGGGACCCTCCGACTTTCGATTAGCGGCAAAGGAGGCGAATTTGTTATCATGCCCCAGACACTGGACCGACATTACCGAATATCACTTATCCAATGATTCAGTATATCGTCGCTCAACAGAGAAAGAATTTCTTTCTCAATGCAAACGACTGAACCATATGTGGGTGGTGATTGGCAAGCAGGCCGGTTTAGAAGAAAGGTTCCTCAGTCGGCTCAAGATTGAAAATCCGATCTGCCCTGTCTTCTACAGCCTCGTTAAAACGCATAAGCTCTCGACCGATCCACGAAATGTGTCAGCTGCAAATTGTAAAATTCGACCAATCATCAGTTGCGTTGGAGGGCCGACAGACAGAATTGCATGGTTCCTGAACAAGATTGTCAGCCAACTTTTAAGTACGATCCCCGCTCATCTGCCGAATACCAATCGCTTCCTTGAACAATTACGCAATACGAATTTCGATCAGCATTGTGTAATAGAGTCTTTTGATGTGGAGTCATTATACACAAATGTGTCTAACGATGACGCCTTACAGGCACTTTCTGAGCTCCTCGATTCACATATCACAAATATGGAAACCTACAGACTCAGTAAAGTACGCATCATTGCTCTTATCAAGGAATGCCTTGGATGTAATATCTTAAGATGGGCGGGCAAGTATTACCACAGCTAAGAGGGCTGGCGATGGGGCAAAGACTAGCTCCGGTCCTTGCTATCTGCTTTATGAGCAAGATAGAAGAGCCGGTACTGACGCGACGTCCCCTTTTGTACTGCCGCTAGATTGTTTCATTTTCACATCGACTCAGTCCGAAATGGATGAGTGCTTCAAGATCTTCAATTAACCGCAGTACATTTGCTTGACCAGAGAAGAACCACACGATGGCTGGCTACCCTTTCTCAACACACAGGTGAAGTTGGCTAAAGGCGCTGCACACTTTAAATGGTATCGGAAAGAGAGCAGCAAGAACATCATTCTGCACGCGATCTCTGCTCATCCAGCTGCCGTGAAACGTGCGGTTATGCGCAACATATTCAGAACAGCAAGCAGCGTATGCAGCGGCGAAAGTGAAAGACTTGAGTCTCTCGAAATGGCACGCGTCATCGTTTCCAACAACGGATACCACTGCAGCCCAAAACCTTCAGGCGAACACGCATGAACGCGAGCAACCAAAGCCGAACACGCATTTCTTTGTGCTTGCCGTTCATATCCGACAAAGTGACCAATGCAGTTAGGCGATGTATAGCGCAAGCGCAGTTGGAAGATGATGTTGTCTTAGTGAATGTACCACAAGACAGCATCAGAAAACAACTGGTTCGAAATCGATTGTACGATATAGCTTGCAGATCGCAAAACTGCGTTGTGTGCACAAATGGAAGGTCAGGGGATTGCTCACGAAGTGGTGTAGTTTATCAGTTGGAATGTCAAACATGCCGGGCCATTTACATCGGTGAGACAGGTCGACCACTTTCAGTGCGTGTAGATGAACATCTGGCCAGTAAACGAAGACAAAGCCTCGTGAGCCCATTGGGGAAACATAGGAAGGAGGACCATGACGGCAAAGATTTTGAAATAAGCTAACATACTGGCAGTCGAGGATAATATCTCAGCTCGGAAAGCGTTGGAAGCCGCATACATTCTTGCTCGGAATCCGAAAATGAATAGCAAGAATGAACAGTTGTCGATCACAAATGATCTTAAGCCGTTCCTATCATTTTGCGGTTTCTAGATAACCTGCAGCTACATAAACATGTCCAACTCAGCTGGACTGTTCATTGTCACCATATCCTGTAGGCGACCGAAAGAGCTTTTATCGGCTCTTCTGTGGAACTCTTGGTAAGTTGATTCGGCTGGATGCTAGACTCCGATCACTTTGGACGAATCAAACGTACGAGTTGGTTAAAGCATTTGATCGCATAAAGCGTTTGATGGAAGTGATTGAATCGCTTTCAGGCCTCTGAGGACGGTGTTTTTCCGCCGAAACGTAAGGCTCAATAAAGAGTTCCGATAAAAACCTGTTGTGACATAAAAAAAAGTTAAACGATATACTATCAACATGCCAAGGTTTAAAGAAAGGAGGACTTATAAAAGAAAATCAAGTTTTTAAATCTTTTTTCGCGGGATTTGCTTTATTTTTTTGATTGCTGCAATGAATGAATATTGATGTGCTTATGCTTATCTCGTTGTATTTGTGTTCAAAAATGTGTTATTTTAATGAAAATCCGCGCTAAAATACCATAATTGTTCTTTCCATTTATTTGCTAGGCGTGTCTCTTAATAGCGGTCACCATCGATTTTTTTCATTAGTGACCCCTATCAATGATGCGCGCCGATGCAGCAAAAATGGCCCTGCTAAGCGATCTCGAACCATGACCGCCTATATTGCATCACAATCCTTATCCATTTAGCCATACCTGCACAAACACTGTTGCTGTTTCCACCTTGAGAACTTTTGTTGTGTCTGCAGACGATCAGCACCCAGATCGATAGCTCGCCGTATGCTTGACTGAGGTGCCAAGAGATCGACTCTGGTCCGCTTCAGGGGACATGCCCTGACGGAGGTTTACTACGGGCCTAATTTTACAAACCAAATGAGCGTTTACCACTACGATTAGCCACTTCTGGGAAATTCGGGTACACCCTGGGGTACCCTAGGAAACGTGAATTATGATGATTTTTCGGAAAACTTTATGAATCGGGAACCAAAAACAACTGAAAGAGGAGAAAAAGCTGCGTCGAATGACACCCGAGTTGCTTGCCGTTTGTTGTTCTGTGAGGTTTGAGTTGACCAAATATGGAATTTTGCAGAAACTCTAAGAAGCAAGCTAAGAAAAGGAATAGATACTTGTCCTATAGGGTTTGCTCTATCTACCTGTCACTTGTACTCCTTCGGAGAATGGGTACAAAAATTTAGAAAAATAGTCGAGCTCGATCGGCAAAAATCATGAGTCGCAAATTGTGGTAATTTTTCGAGAGCTCATTGAATGATGCAATGAAATTACGACCTTTGAAAAGAGGATAATATGATGCATCAAACGCTCCTAAGATCTCTTGAAAATCTTGATTATATGAAGTGTGGCGTTCGTTTGAAAAAAGCGACATTACTTTCGGAACGACCTAATATTAGTACAGATGCTTAGCATTGAGGAATGCTACCGCCTTAAGAATAAGTTGAACTTCGAGGGCGTCCAAGGCCGGCCTGGTTCACGTCAGGTATCCACCAACTAACAGACAAGTCTTAGATTCACCTATAACTAAATCAAGCAAAAGCTGAAAGTCAAAAGTGACTAAGTTCTTCGAATGGGAACCAGAAGAAGTAGGGGTGAAAGTACGACAGGTCAATCAGGAAAAGGATCAGAAGTTTAGTAACAAGAACATTAATTTTAGCAACATGTTGGATATTCTGATCAGCCGCCCATGCGGCGATACAGTCGAAGCGCTGTTAAAAGGATAGGCTATAATAACAAACGAGCCAATTTGATCCGATGAACATTGACCTGAAACAAAAACCTGATTACGGAAATAAACAAATAAGAAAAAATGATAAAATGAATGAAAAACCATATGAACGCAATTCCATGAAAATCTGAGGAACGAAATCCTGAAAATAAACTAGCGACGGAAAAACAACAAAAAAGGTTTGTCTGTGTTTGTGCCTTGTGTGTCTGTCTGTGCGTGCGCATGTTCCGAATTTAAAATTCCTTTTTAGATTCGGAGCAAACTTTGCACATTTATACTTTCCTAGACGGGTGTCGTAGGATTTCTTTCGTCATTGATTGATATCGATTTCAACGATTATTTGCAAAGTTTCACCTACGAGACTGGGAGTTGGCACAGGGGGGGGGGTGGGTATTTGAGCATAAGCTGAACTGAGTTGAGTACAAAAATGTTGCTGACAGGGCCGGGCGGAGCCGGATTTACCAGTAGTTCGGTAGCTTGAAATTAGCCCGTTGCCTTTAGCTGCTACAGATTCAGCGTACTTACCTATTGTACAACTACATCAGAAAACTTGGCGTTGGCGTCCAAAAGGTTAAAGTATTTTAGATTTATCCCTGCAAAAGTCTCAACCGCTGCAAAAAAAGTTATCCCAGATGTATCTTTTGAGATGTGCGCGACTACTTCTTACTTTTCTGCGGTGTTTACGGTTCACGGAGCAATCTGACAAACTGCAAAGCTCGCGTGCGGAAATGTTGAAGAAGTGAGTTACTGCTCTGCTGGTCTATCCACAATGCCTTCGATGTCTATGTTGAAGGAGCATCACTTGACACATCGCAAATTGAACATACCTTGATAGTATAACTTTGTAATCATTATAGGCACTACTGCGTTACTAGTGAAAGCCTACCTCCGCGCAAGCTTAACTTTTCAGTTCTACAAGAACACTATTGTGCACTTCGACTTGAAGGGGGCTCCACCAAAAGTGGAGTATTTTTTGGACCTACTGCAGCTTGTTGCTAAAAGTGGGGCAACGGGTAAGGAACAATTGGTCCCAAATCGAAGTATTAAGAGTTTTGCCCACGCAAAGGCGCTTACAGGTATTCTCATCGAGTGGGAGGATATGTTCCCATGGCTCGGGGTTCTAAGAACTACCCGAAATACAGAAGCGTATACTGAAAAGGAAGTCGAGAAAATTCTCGCAAAGGCAAGGTTAGGCTTTTGCTCGATATCTTACATTCCCATTGTTATTGCATCTAATAGCCATGTCTGCAGCATGCATCGCTCACAAACAAAATATGATTGAAAACCTTATGTGTTCAACATTTTAGAAGTTTGGATCTCGATGTTATTCCATTAGTGCAGACTTTCGGGCACATGGAATGGATGTTGAAGTACGAGGAGTTCCGAAGATTTAGAGAGAACGATGAGTATCCCCAGGTAAACTGCATGTGAACTAATACTTTTATAAGACAGGTAGCAGTAGGTAAGTCATTTTCCTTGATAGGATTTCGACAAAGATACTCTTGATTAAAGACGCGGAGGTTAACCCTTCAAGAACATAGGAAGCATTTCTTAGTGAACGGCCATAGGTTGCCGGCAACGGTTGTCGAGATTGCTGGGGTTGCCGAGGTTGCCGGCGCTGCTGGGGTCAGAGACACTTAGAGAGCGCGAAACGTGGAAGCTACATGAGGTCCTACAACGACCGGCAACGCCAGCAACCTCGGCAACGCCGGCAACCTATAGCCGTTTCCTTGGAAATTATCCGCAATTGGTACAGAAGTGGAATATGCACGTTTGGAAGTTTTGCGGAAATGTAAGCAAAGCATGCATGTAATCCGAAGTTTTGAAAAAGTCCTTGCGCTGTATGGCAGTATGTCCTGATCACAATACACTTCAAAGGCTACCAAGAATGCAAAGTTTCTCGCTCTCGGGTCAAGCTGTCTCCTTGGTACAAATTGGTGATGCATTGAGTCAAAAAAATAGTAACTTCTTTGAGGTTCAACAAGTTTATCAACGTGTTCAAGTGTCTGCAGGGCCACGCCCGCTATACGCCTGGGAAACGCCTATACCTAAATAGTAGTGCGAGGTTGTTAGTACAATGAATAAAGTATCGTTGATTGACAGCCACTTAGGATGAAGATATGAGTAGAACGATTTAGCTCAACCTCTATTGGCAGAACTTTCTCTCAACCTATGTTTTTGTCACAAAACATCCTAAACATTCCCTCAATTACCTAAACGTATACTCAACATATTCTTATTTCTTCCTCACTTACGAATGGGGAAAAATGATGAGATTATCGCAACTCTGCCTTTAGCAGTTCTAGGCATCCTCGCACAATTATACAGCAAATGCATTCAGAAGCACAATCATGAACTTGTGCCTTTGTACTCAAACATTTTATGCGACCGCCCTCGCCTCATGGCCGGCTAGGCGAAAACCTGCGCCGGGGCTGGCCCTGCCATGCTAGCGCGAGGCAGCAACTGTTCCAGTGTGTGCAGCGATTTTGTCACCCATACGAGCGGGCCAGCCTGTATTTCAATGTCTCGTTTTCTTTGTTGGCCCGCGCTAGCATAGCAGGTCTACCCTGAATGTGGGTTTCCGCTCGGCCGCACATGTATGCGCGGATCGCCGCAAATGTGCATACATGTGATATCAAAAATAGTGAAACTCGTTCCCTGCATTCATATTCTTAATCTAACTACACGGATTATTCGAAATCCCATCAATGGTCAACTCATAAGGAGACCTATTGTCAGCCCAAAAGGAAGCGTTACTCCTTCTGCAAGCTCTGATGTCATCCCTTTCACTCCGTCGTATCTAACGCGAGTAACCTTGCGCACACAACGTGCGGTAATTTATGTGGATGAGCGGGTCGCTGTTGATTTCAGCATATATCTGTATGGGTACACGGGCCGCCAGTGAAATTATGAGCCCATACACGCGTATGGACCACCGTCAGCATGGCACCAAGTACGTGCTCGGGTCGACAGCTTACACATATGGGCCGCTGCTGGACCTGATGCATGTGAGGCTGAGATATAGGTGCCGCGGCTCAGCGGCGAAGCCCAGTTGAGCGACCGGGCCGCTGCAGCAATTGTTTGAATAGGTGCTAAAGTTCTCAAATATTGATCTTGAGGTTGAGGTTGGAAAAAAATCATGAGACAAGTTGAAAGTCATTAGAGTTAGTTTCTACTACATTTCACGGTCTACTAATTTTTGAACATCTTTTTTTCTTATAAAAACCGCTGAGTTCGTACCTTCAACAAACTTCTTCAATCTCTAAACCATATTACAACTCTAAAGCTTGAATTAAATGCTAAGCTATGTCTTAGGTAATCTGCATTGGAGATCAGAATGCCGTAAATCTTGTAAAAGAAGCAATAAGGCAGGTAGCCACTGTGCACAACAAATTTGGTTTGAAGTACTTCCACATTGGCGCCGACGAAGCCTTCGAGGTACGACGTTAACACTGTCTACCTTCAACTCACAGAAGAGAGACCAATCTTTTGAGCACAGGAGAGAAAAGTGTGGATGAGCACTCTAAAAGCACAACATGCACTTTTAGTATGACCGAGATTTTACGATTTTCTCGTTTTGCTCGGAAGCAATTTAGTAACTTTTTTCTACACGAAACAGTGTTGAAAGCGACTTATGACTAGCTCTATTTTGCGGAATAGTCAATATAGATTTACTTCATCAGTTTACCTTGCCAACGCTCTCATTTTATGTAAGCATTTGGTTCAACGGAATTGTAGGAAAAGGAAAAGTGAATCGTGTGTGTATCACAAGAGGTGAAAACTGTCTTACCCGATGAATTGAAGTAGCATGTACCGTATTTGGTACCCATGAAGCAATCTTTTTCAGTATGGAACATGTAAGGCCACTGCAGCTCTGCAAAAATCAATGAGAAGCCTTGATAGAGTTGCAATAAAGCATATGGCAACAATAGCTGCTTACGCCAAAGAAATTACAAAAGGAGCAACGTAAGTGTCTTTTCAGAAATATGTTGATTAACTATGAAGAGTAAGCAATAGCCAGTAATCATGGGGTGTTGTTGATCGCTTTTTCATTCATCGATAGTGCTTTTCACATGGAAGAATTTTGCTTTCACCGACACCGCAAGATTTGTGAAAATCCCACATACTGCGACTTGAAATGATAGCATTGCAGTCGCTCAGTGATAGTAACAAAACCATGAAGTTGTTTTATTATTTACTTATTTCGGTACTGAAGTAACCACAAAAGATCGTTTCCACTGAACCACATCGTTTACCAAAGTAAGCCCTTAAATCGCTGCCTATAGTACGCCCATCGTAGTCAAGTTGGAGCGGCTAAATCATCCACTTTGTGATGACACACAAGTTTTGTCTGTTCAGCTGTCAAACGCGTGCTTCTCTTACAGTATACTGAATGCTTATGCATCTTTTAACGATCGTGAGCTGCGTAATTTTAGTATATAAATATAAAACAGATTTATTCTTGTACTCAACCCCTCCCATTATGGTTTTGGAAGAAAATTTGTGATTGGAATCGTATAATTGCTGTGCTTACATCTGTGTAATACTTCCTTCTAAGAGTTTTCCAGGATACTGGCTTGGCACGATATGTTGAAGAACTTTGAACAGAGAGAAGTTGTCAAAATGGGTCTCGACACTCTCGTGCAGCCTGTCATTTGGGATTACACCGAGACTCTGGCAACAGTTGACCGTATGCAAAACCCTCAAATGAGGGTCAATAATTCCTCAATAATTCCCTGAGATTCAGCTCTTCAATATGAAGCCATAGTCAACACGTATGGTAAAATATGGATGTCATCAGCATTCAAAGGCGCCGACTCTCCCACATCAAAGTATAATAGACTCAAACATTATATGGAGAATAATGTGGCGTGGATTTTAGAGGAAAGGGTTAGCTCAATAAGCTGTCGGCAGTTCTCACAATAGATATCAGATTTTTCAGAAATATCGCCGAATCTATCCTTCACGTCATACTCAAGGAATTATTATCACAGGGTGGTCACGGTGAGCTTGCAAAGATAGTAGATACATTACGTGATCAGATTTCGGTCCCTGCTCAAAGTCAGTGTCCCGATTTGCGCGCTGTGAGGTATAGCTGTGGTGGGATCCCGGTCTTCACTAACCTCCAGGCCCAACTTGCTGGTTGATGTCACCACTGCCCCAAGAAAATATTCCTCGAACCGGCGCCGCAACCCCTATCGGCGCGCGCTCCGACGGCTTCGCTTTCCTGTTCGGCGCTGGATCCCGTCCGCTCCCGCATTGTGTAAGCTATCCAAAGGGGTGGAGGACTATATGTCGCCGAATATGGAAAGGTCCCGCGCGGATTTCTTGCGGGAACACACCGTGCATGTGCGACTGTGCGTAGTTGTTGCAAATGATCGCGAGCACCGCCCATTTTCGGCGACATATACCTCTACCCTATCCGAAGCAAAATTCACAGGTTCTTCGCGACAGGGTCTTCGTGCTAGGGCCTCCCAACTTTCTATTTGAACCTCGTCCGAGCTGCCTCTCGGAATTTGGGTAAGCGACTTGAAAGCAGCCTTTTTACCCGGTTCGAAGCTCAAATTCGAGGACTACGTGTCGAAAAGGCTTAAGACATGTAAAAAATGGAAATACAAAATCTGCCGGGACTCCGCCCATAAGGAACATGGGCAAATAGAAAGATTACTTATATTAACGAGCTCAAGAGCATGTTTTTGATTACGTTGTAGGTCTGTTGAAATTCTTAGGATGAGTTCTAGTCGAGCATGTTGCTGGTGTGTAGCAGTAGCGTACTCAGGATTTACCGCACTGCGTGACGTTAGTACACCATCGTATCACGTCCGCCTCGGCAGCCTAGATCGCCGTTCAAACCTTGTCGCCACTTTATCATTATGCTATTTCTGCGCTCCCTCATACGCTAATCAGACGATGATTTAGTAGCATCGCAGTATGAACAAATTGTTCATGAGTCCAGAACTTGACCTGTGCTCTACAGCCATTTGGCACGCTCAAATTGCCAACATTAAAGGAACAGAGGTGACTTATATGTCTGCTAGGCTTCAACGCGCGCGAACTGCCACTATATATCTGCAATGTCCATAATGTATAGAGTTGCGTGGTTGTTGCAGATGTCCGCGTGGAACCACACCATTTGGCGACATACAATCCCGCACCTCAGGAATATCAATCTGCTCACGCGCAAATGTTGTCTGTAAATGTCGGCATCGCAGTGACACTATATCAACATCAATTTCTAGATCCACAGTCCTGACCCACCAACCCATAGCACATAGAAAACGAATTCTGCAGCCCTTATATGTTAGTTTTTCCGAGAAAATGGACTTAACTTTTTCGACTCAGATATATGATCTCGGTTGAAAGGTGTTGACAAGGGTTTTGAGGTTTTCCGTTACGGTAATTGCGACCACCAACGAATCAAAGGTCACCGCTTAGTCAGCTATACTAAAATTTTATATGTAGTGAGCGAAAATTAGCTTTGGTTGAGCAATCAACCTCGTTAGAACATGTTACCCCTCTCTGCCGTTTCAGCTATGCAAAATATTTCGCTATGCAGCTTTGAATTTCAAACACCTAATCTAAACTTTTTTTAGATATGACCATATGGCGGGTTTATGTGAAACTTGGCCGGTTTCTGAGCCATCTATGGTTACCAACGTTCAGATAGCATTGATCGGTGCACAGAGCGCCTATGAAGAACTGGACCGAGCGGTAGGTACCCATTTCGCGCACGGTCAAATAGACAATTATTTCAAAGTTCCAGGATATTTTGCAGAAAGCAAATGCGAACGCTAGGCAAATAATGGATTGCTCTCTACATGATGGTCTAGAGCGTTGTAAATTTCCAGGTTAAGTCTAGTCCATAAAGTTAATCAATCGTTTCATGTGCAATACTGCTCAAAATTCGTAACAAAATTTTTGTCACACTCCTGCTGAGTGCGCGGAAGAGCAGCGGAGTGTATCGCAGTCCACCAAAGTGCGTCGTAATCCGGGTCGCACCGTCATAACTCGCTTTAGAACGGACCAATTTTGAATCCAAAAATATCGTTCGTCTTAGCTCGGCGAGACGCATCGTCTTTTATACAGAAGTGACACAATTGTGTTGGGGTACGGTATGTATACGGTGGGCAGTAAGTTTTCGCTCAACTTTGCAATTCTTGCTTAGTTGGATTATGAAAGTGTCGCAAAAAAAAATATGACCACTGTTTGATTGTTAACAACTCGGTTCTTGGATGTTTTTCGCCAATTTTTTACTATCATTCTGTAGAGTAAGAAGCAAAATTCCAGTCTCCTTTCGTTACTTAGGAATACGGTATGAACTTTGAAGAAGGTTGAAAGCTATAAGAGTCGCATTTGGCCTAGGAAAGGAATTTAAACAAGTCAAAAACTTCTATACTACTAGGCTCCGGGAAGGAAACCAAACAAGCCAAAAAATTCCATACTACTAGGCCTATTAGAGTCGCCTTACAGGTGTGCAATTTGCACAGCACACCAGTTTTCACCATAAGTTATTTCAGGAAAACAATAACAACTGCTCTTCCAATGTTTTTTGAAAATGTGGTTACAGCTCTGAAGAGGCTCAGAATGTTTGTAAAAAGTTGCATAATGAAATCAGCAGGCTCAAAAATCCTGCTACACATATTTTCAGAGTTTTTCGGAATTTTTTTTCGAACGGCCTTTCACAATGAAATACGTAATTACAGTAGCAAAAAGAGATCGTAGTCTCGCTTCATACTGTAAAACTAATGTGATTCTTGCCCTACAAAATTGGGACACCCTGCATGATGTGGTAGCAACATTGCCATTGATTCGCTGCTGTTGTCGCATTGTACAGATACTGTGGAAGTACGGTAAAAAGTCACCTTTTGAATTTGTTATAAATTAGCTCAGAGTAATCCTGATGCGTTGATTGCAATGATCATATTCACTTGCTGTTTAAGGAACAGTGTGCAAGATATCTGCAATTAAGTTCAATTTAGTTGTGCTCGAATCGTCTCTATGGTTGCTTTCACGCAATCCTTCTACCCAGAAAGATCTCAAGTTGCATTGGCGATCTGGAATGAAATGCTACTGACTGATAGTTTTCAACAAATCGAGTGTTTTTGTTTTACGAAGCAATTAAGCAAAAGTGAGCAGGTATGTAGTCCAGCGCACAGTCAGCGAGAGTGCCTTATACTAATGAATTTTCATCAATACCGACTATAATTTTGATCCAGAAGTTGATTTTTTGAAGACAAAAAGCATTGAAATATAGATGACATTTTAAAACTGACAGAATTACTGCTCCTCTGAACTGGCTAACAGTTGCCCAAATTCATATTCTTTGCTCATTCAAAGAATGAAAGGAGAAACCCTATTATAAAGAATGCTCTTAAGAATGAAAGGAGAAAGTCTATCAAAAACGCCGTGTTCTCAATAAACAAGAGCAAGATCAAAGTTGCTAAAATGCTCGACTGCTGATTGATATAACACAACTTACCAATCCAAGAGACTCAGAGTTGTATCAGTGACTACTTAATACAGCTAGAAAAGTAGCGCAGCAGAATCAGCACAACCAGGGAAGTGACAGGAAAGTTAGCGAAATTCGCAATTAGCTGGTTCTAGTCCTTATGTTGGTGAGCGACTATCGAAATTGAGGAGCGACTCGTCCGCGTCAAGCGCAGCGCCAGCGCTCGCGTCCTAGATTTTGAATTACTGTAACGCACTATGGGTTCAGAAGGGCCGTCTTTCCTCCAGCAAATCTCTTGGATTTCACGATCAACACATTAGCTGTTCATAACTGGCAAAAAAAGAACAAGACAGCAGAACAAAATTATGTAAATAGTCAAGGCTTCACCCCACTTGTAACAAGCTTATAGCTCACTAACAAAAAATTTTTTATAAGGCTAAAATGAATTTTTAAAAAATTTTAAAAATTATTTTAACTATTTTCAAATGCAAACAAGTCGTTTGCACTTGAAAATAGTTAAAATAATTTTTAAAATTTTTTAAAAATTCATTTTAGCCTTATAAAAAAAATTTTTTCGGGGCGGGCTGACGCCACGCCCCCTTTTTCCAAATTTTAGGGGTCGGAGACCCGCAAAAGTTTTGAAAAGCACCCCAAAAATTTTTTCGTGCGTGGCTGACGCCACGCACCTTCTTTAGAACAAAAATTTTTGTCGCGCCCCCCCCCCTCCGAAAAAAATTTCTCGGACCGCCACTGCTCACTAATAGAATTTGCTTTCACTTGACTAGAGAACATGGCCATGAACCAGTGCTAGAGCAAAAAACTCGTCCATCTTGCGATAGGCGGGGCTAACGGTGCGCACCTTATTGACACACGCCTGCCTAAGCGCGCGCTATCGTTCATAAAGTCCGCCACCCCTATGCCGCAAACACGTGCCCACAAAAACGCTCATAAATTCTACCAGAGAGCCGCTCAGCAAATGAAAAAAGCATCGGAATTAGCTCATCGAAGCGCTTTTGATGATAGCATTTCATTCCAGATCGCCAATGAGATCAATGCAATCAGAACAAGCACGTGGAAGCAACCATTAAAAAGCTATCAACACAACGAAATTGACCTTAATTGCAGATGTCTCTGCAATACCATGCCTTGAGTAGTAAATGAATGTGATTATCCCAGTCAGCGCATCAGAACTGAGTTAATTTCAACAAAACCGATCAAAATGACATTTTATCATACTCTTACAGTATCCTTACAATTTGATATCGTCGTCTCCCCGGTGTACGTTAGGCGGGGCTTTTGCGGACATTTGGACATGTTGGTAAACTTGTTAACCCTCTACTGCAAAGCACTGTTCTTTGTAATCTCTCGCTACCAACTCCGCCATGTATGACAACAGCATCTATGCGTGGCAGTTTAGAGAGTACAAAGAACCATGCTTTGCAGTAGAGGTTTAACAAGTCACCAACGTGTTCAAATGTCCGCAAATCTCCGCCCAACGTACACCGGGGAGACGACGATATCTGCAGCGAATCAATGGCAATATGTTATCAGCATACCGAACAATCTAAGTAAACAAAACTCTGCAAGACTGCTGCCTACCGTATACTATAGTGCCCCGACAGACTGTATCTGAAGCGAGATATGGCGTTGCGGCGCGGACTCCGACACACCTTGATAGAGAGCGACCACTCTGCTGCTCTCCAGCGCACTCCAGTCGTATGCGGCGTATGCGCCGGAGTGCGGCAACTTTTTTGACGACTTATGAGAATTTATTAACGACTCATTATCGGATATTGTATGATTTCCAGGGCAGCAGCTATATAAGGCATTCCAAGTGTATTACAAGGAAAGACTTGACTGGATCAAAAATGACTTAGCCGACAATTATCAGATCAAGGGTTGGCTGTCTCCCTACAATATGCGCCACAACATGACGCAGAACTGGTATGTTAACATGGAGTTTCATCAGCAAAGCTCAAAAGCGACGAAAAAGTGATAAAAAGATTTTGAACATTGCTTGAGTGTCGTTGAGAATCCAAGCTATCGAAATTTTTGCTGCTTTAAATATGCGATGAAGTACATGAAGCGTGTAGACATAAGAGATATGAGCTACTCTGTGGCCGTCAAGAAAATGAACTTTTGCGTAGAGCTTAAGAATATGTAACTTGTTTTTTTAGTATTTAGAGTATGAAATTTCAATAAAAATCACTTTAATCGTGTAAGAAATTTTGGAAAGGTTGTACTTTGAGGGAAAAGGTAAGCCCATCAGATTATAGAGGATTTCAGGATTTTGTGTAGAGCGTCTTGCTTCAAAATTTCCGCAGCGCATTTGTTGCCGAAAAAGAACTAGCATTGAAAGAGAAAACCGCGGATACATTATGACTTCATTCATAAAGAACTTTTCGCTTTGCCTAGACTTTTTACTTTAAAAAGGAAGCTTGATAATATCCGCAAATTCTTTTGGCGTTTTACAACGGGGTGCACAGAACCCTTTTTGTTCGCTACTCTTTCGACAGTTTACAGACTCCCACACATTGAAGATTCAGGTATCTGCGACTGATAGAAAGCACGGTGACGTCTTACCTGCAGGAATTGAATATCATCACTAGAGATTTGAAGTAAGTGCAATTGATAAATGTCCACAAAATAGAGGTTACCAAAGTTAGCGCAATCAGATGAAGTAATGTACGTAAGCACCACTTGAATGCTGGTGAAATAATGAGAAAAGCGATAATCATGATGGATCATCTAACTAGCTTCCGTTAAAAAGCATGTCTTGGCATTTTCTCCAAATCATATGAGATCTTAGGCTTGAAATCAAAATGACAAGCAACATGCTGAAGCCAGGCCTATTCTTTTCGCTTCTACAAAGAAAAAAAAATACGCTTCAACTCAAGTGCTTCAGTTTGTAGTGTGAAGGAACCGTGATTCAGGAAGGAGCTTGTAGAGAATTCGAAACGCTGTATGCAATTACGCGATTTTCAGCTCGTGTATGAAAGAATTCAAAAACTCTTTTTTTTTCAACAATTTTTTTCTCTCAATTGGAAGGAATGCGCTGTAAATGCACGTGTAAAAATCGGTTTTTTTACATGTTGACGAAACATTGCTACCTAAAGTTAAATGCGCAAGGTTTATTTACAGCATTACATATTTTGACTTGAACTTCCGAAATCTTTAATTTTGCAACACTGCTAGCTTCAAGAACCACGTTGGGGTCACTTATTCTAAACAATATGTGTTCCAGGGCCGAGATGAATAAGTTATTCAGTAACAACACGGTGGAAGAGTTTTTCTTTGCCAACGTTGATCCAGATCTGGAAAAGCTGCATCGATACCGTGATGAGATTAAAAGGCTCAGAAATTTTCGCGTTTATGGAAGAAGGAGTTTCCCTATTCGTCGCGATTACCAGGGATTGTGATTTTTGCTAACTAGCTGATTCAATTTTTTCTCGTACAAATGTTTCTCACCAGCATCTCATGTTAGGATTTGCGTAAAGAAACTTGCTTGTTTTTCACTTACTTCTTTTTTCCCTTTTTAGTTGCTAATAAACCTATTATTTTTCAAAAGTAAGGACAGCGCTACCAACAAACGGATTCTGAGGCTTATAGATCAAATGTTTGGAGGACATAGCCCGATATCAAAACTTTTGAGACAAATAAAGAGGGCGTTTCTGTTGTTACAGTGTTAGCAAGTTACCACTGTTACCACAGTCACTCGTGTTCGCAGTGTTACCAATGTTAAGACTGTTACCACTGATTATCGCAACCGTTCACACCGCTATTACCGGTGTTCCGCCGGCTTCGCAATCTCTTTCTCCATTTTTTCGATTGGTAATTCGTTATAGCACCTTTCACTGATAAGTGAAGTTTCGTCGAAGTGGCACTTTGGAAGGTGATGCACACCTTTAGAGCTCAAAAAGCTAACTTTTGTGTAACCTCTACATCTCCAGGGCGTTCCTTTAAAGAAAGTTGTAAGATTTTTTGTATGCGTAATGGAATTGTGGCTCAAAAGACATGACAGACATCGCTATAGTGAGGTGGAAGTAATCGTTATCGTAAGGCTCAGTATGCGCGCAATTGGCCATGAAAAACGCCCATAACTTTTTCAAAAAAGTTCGCAGTTATACATGATTGTATGAAGGCGGTGCAAGTTCTAGCTGTCAATACAAACCCTTCCTATTCACCACTCTAGCGATCTCTGCTTGTAACTTGTTGATGTGAAAGATGACTCAGGCCCGTATGTGCCAACATCCCCTGAGGCGAGGGGAGGGGCGTTCCCATTGATGAGGAAGCCGCAGCGGCTATTGCCTGTGGTCTTTGGGGAACGCTGCTGCTCTGGCAGCAGGGACGTTACTGCTTACGGGCCTCAGTCACAAACCGGGCTTTGGCCATACTTTACCCGTGTTACCGTTGTTACTCGTGTTACCACTGTTACTCGTGTTACTCGTGTTACTAGTGTTACCGCTTTTTTGCTGTTGAGTAGTGAAATTAATACAAATGCAGTCTCATTCTAAAACGCAATCTCATTGTCTGGTGAGTAACACGAGTGACACGAGTAACACGGGCAAAGTTTGGCTAAAGCCAAGGCTAAGGAAAGATTGGGACTACTGAGCCAAAAATCATTCCGAACTAGAACGCTGGATACAACGGTAGGAAAGGCTGCAGTGAACACTTGTAAGGAAATGGTCATGACCCACAGTCTGCGCAAAACTCCCTGAAAGCGTTGCTGCTGCGCAACATGTGCCACTGCAAGAGCCTGCTCTCGTCAGCACTCTTGGTTCCATGTTAATTATGGCATGAGTCATGTATTTGCCGCTACAGTATCAGTCTATAAGATTATCAAAAGCGAAGCACCTCAGCAGTGCGGATCGAATATTCTCCGTCATCTTATAGGCATTATAAAGGTCGGAATATAACAGGTTCCTTCCTCATAGATTATACCGAATCGCACTAGCGCTCATTTAAGGAAATATTCATTACTATGATCTGTTCAGGACACTGACATCATTCTGCTTTCGAGATCTGCTATACGGTTCTGAAGAAAAAAAAGTTACGGACTCATAAATGTACAGTTTTTGTTCTGTTTACGGCCAAAGACGAGTAATCATGCATTACTACTGCGACGGAAATATGTTTCGTGACGCAGTCATAGCGAAAACTACTGATTCACTATCTAGGGTGACTTTCAGATAAAATAAGAAAATTTGCAGAAACGCAAAAGCAAAAGCAGTACCCACGGGGTCTGAATACGGTACCCTAGGCTGAAAGTCAACTGCCTCGCAGTTGCACTATCAGCATTTCTACTAATAATGCATCATGACAGTACTAGATTCGAGTGTACGAGGCAAAACTTGTGAATCCAGGGCCCATAATTTTTTCTAGAACCGTTTCGCTGACGTGGAAAGCGGGTATGCTATCAGGATTCCAAAGAAACCTATTGATGTACTCTGCTAAACGCCAGTGCGACTCAGTATATTTTGCACGTTAAAGAGACAGGGCAGAATATTTAGATATGATGTAAGTCTTGAAAATTTTAGTATGTTTATTCCATTCAAACCCCGTTTCTGGAGCTTCTGACTGCCTCTCTACAATGGAACTCCACAAAATTCTGGACAATTAGAGACACTTAGATGAAGCTCCAGCGGCATATTGCGGGATCGAAACACCGTGTATAATTGCACAGTTATGCCATAGACAAAGTTCAAAATCAGATTTCATCTTTTTAGTTGCTGATGTGATCTTCAAAAGTCAAAGTGGTTGCACAAGTAGTCCATGAAGGTGGCGCATGTTAGCTCATGCTAATGATTTTGTTTATTTTCCCACTTTTCCGTTTTTTCATCAAAAAGTCCGAGTCCTTCCTGCTCATAAATTTTGCTTCAAGCATATCATAGCTATCAGTGATTCTTTTCATCTGACAACGCTATCTTTCTGAATATCACGAGCAAACGAGGGAAGGAGTGGTGATATAACTGTGACTAAAATGGCATAAATCGAAGATAAGGTGCAGAACCCACCCTGTTTGGCTTTCCAGATAGGACTACAGCTGTGAGTAATGAATGCAGTGGCTCTTCGCTTCGAATGAGTTAAACGGTACGGGGGGGGGGGGAGGGGGGAGGGGGGGGGAGAGGGAGGGGAGGGGGAATTTGCCACTAATGACAAGTCAAGCAAGCACGCAGCAGCCGTATCGTAACGCGAAACCCCGTGTTTTGAAAGAAAGCGTTGTTGTAAACGTGTTGAAGTTTACCGAAAATGAATTTGTCAAGTGTTGCATTGATAATGAAGTTTCATTTTTCGGGCTAGCGAAGTCTTGAGTTGCCCTATATTTATGGGTGGGCTACCGTGCCAATCTCGGTGCGATTGTCGGCTGGCTTTGAGAGCGGTCCTCTTATGTCTTGTCACTTTCCCTACAATCGCATATTCTGAAGATGAAAGCGCTAATACGACAGTAGTAGACGCCGATGACGAGCTAATTTTTGGTCATCTGACGTAAATTAAAAGAATACTTCGTGAGCGGAGGGTAATTTTAGTTTTTCTTTCAGATTGACAGCGTTAGTCGTTGCTTCGGTTGCAACATTCATCCTTGCGATATGCACTGCTGTTGCTTGCTACTATGATTTTTCTAATATGGACAGTGGCGTTGGTACGAGACCAACATTAAAACTTACAAAATTAGTCATTGTTGGAAATGCTTAAGCAAAACTGGAGGTGTATCCAGAAACTGATGATCTACCATTACCTGAAGTTTTGCAACCGACAACATCTGCCGAAACCGAGTATAGGAGTGAGGTAATTAAGAACGCAAATAAAATTGCTCGTGCATGCATTTCGCTTTGTAGGAAACAGCAAAGAAGACATCCGAACTAGCAGCTGAGGCTAAAGAATTGGAGGAAATTCTACAACCACCATCTCGATCAGATGCGATGGCTCGTCAAGCAAAAATTATTGAGGGTCAGTTTCTTGTGAATGGGGGGGGGGGGAGAAAAGGGGCTTTGCAGCTATCACATTTTATATTGTGATCTCTCCAAATTATAAAAAAAGTCGAATGAGAATTTCTCTTCATGGCCCTGTCGCGGTGATTGAGGTGAATAAAGCATTTGACGTTTCCATTCTCTTTGGGCATGGGTCAGATGCGTGGTACTTCGTAATCGAAGATGGGTTGAACGAGTTCGAGCCTTTGCAGTGTGTTGCAGGGGTTAGCCGATTAGCGACTCTTGCCCCTACTCCCGAACTACTCGCCATTTACCTCCTCCCCCCTCCCCCCAAAGAATGTGCGTCTGGCCAATCGGACCGATCTATGAAAACAAATCGCAAAATCTCAGCCTGTCTCAAAAGCCTACTTATTTTACAGCTTGGTTTGCTCAGGAAGGCGTAGTCCTTCCCAAGAATTAGGCAGTAGCTCGAACGCTCAGTTTAATCTTTTTAGCCTACTCATTTGAATCGGGTCCAAATTTAAATCTATTTTGTTTTTATCTAGACTTTTCAAGATACACTCAATAATTACCTTCCTTGTATGCTTTTACAAGGGAAGGCACCTAACTTGGTTCGGTTTTCTGAAAGAGACATATTTTTATACCAGTGCGTCACCTCTGCTTCGTAGAGGCTCGCACTGGCCCTACTTTCTGTATGCCTTACTCATTCCCGCATAGTAGTGACATTAAAACTCACCGCGTTATGCAGCCTATCACGAATGATTTGTAAACAGCTACTCATTCCTAGATCTTTTTGCATGAGATCGGTATTTTCACGTGGATGAAACTTTTCTCGAAACAATAAATGCAAATTTGTGTAGATTTGTGGACTTTTTATGGCTTGGTAGTCGCCATAACGACATTAATCATCGTGGGCTACATCTCTGTGCAAAAATCGTCTCAAATGATCAGTTAAAATCTTGGGAAACTGAGCATTTACGCAACTAATTCTTTTTGGCGCCATCTTCGTAAAGTAACCTTTAGTCGAATTTTTTGGGCTAAAGTCTATGGCTTGTATAGTAGCTTGTCAAACATATCCGCGACTTTGCAAAAAGTTTATATACGGACCCAATTTTGCTGGCCAGAAGTTAAGTGGACCCGTTTCACGCGCAATTTCTAGGGGATCCACTTATCGGATCCGCTTGTGCTTTTGCACAATGGACTTTCCTGCTGCTAGGATGTACTATGCAAAATTGGGCCAAATAGGTTGGCTGGAACTCTTCCTACGAATTTCGTGACAGACAGAGATTCACACACACAGACACACAAACAAACGTAAACAACCCTTAGCCCGTTATTATAAGTTGTGATATATTGAATCAGCTTTGAAGTGATTTCAAGTATGATATTCTTAGCTGCAGCACATCAATGTGGAAAGTGTTATTGTCTTTTTCACTTTCAAGATTTGGATACTATAGATTCCGAGTCAGCTTTCTATGCTGCTAATGGTATGCAGCTTGCTTATATTGGCCATTTCGACATTCGACCATTCGCTTGTTAGTAAAAACACAATTAAGTTTTCATAACTGCCGCTATAATCACCTTCTTCTTGATAATCGCCACTTTTACAACATGGTTTCTAAACAATCACATCACCACATAACATGAAAAATTTGGATATATGGATATTTGCATGCCCATCGACTTGATGACATCAACGTACCATCATCTAAGTGAACTTGCGTTGAGTTTCTTGTCAATGAGAATAATTTATCCGATGTTATTTCGTATCTCTGCACCTTTTCGGGCAGAACTTTACCTGCTGACAGTTTTTCTATGTTGGGTAGTATGCCAATTTCGCGCAGTAGCTCATAACGCTTCGAAGTGGTCGCCGCAGCTAAAAATAGCATATTTGAAACCAGTGCTTCAGTCTGATTTAGAATATGTCTCTTTCCAAATGGCCGATCTAAGTTGGGTAGTCTTCCTTATTAGACGGGAATTTCCTATCCATGAGGTTGAAGTAAGTGGTACTGGTGTAGTAATGTAGTGGTGATACCCATAACAACTGAGGCATGCTAGAAAGTTTTTCTGAACCACGGCGGTGTAGTTCGGAGCTAAAATGTCGCAATGGCCATGGCGTGTACGAAAGGTAGAAAGAGGTCGTTTGGCTGCGTTCATACTGATTCCCATATTCTGGAACTGTTCCCGCACAGTTCTCAGCACAGTGCGAGAACTGTGCGGGAACAGTTCCAGAACATGGGAATCAGTATGAACGCAGCCTTTGCTGAGATGATAGAAGTCACATCTTCTTTCCTCGAATTGTGTGATATAAGGCGTCGTGGGTTCGATGATATCCCCCAATCCTTCTAAGCAATGATATTGCCGCTTGTTTTACATGTTCTATTTTTTGGTACCGTTCAGATTCATGTCTAACTACTTGGGACGACAGTTTCTGCGTCTTAAAATTATAAAAATTACAACTATCGTAATCGTGGATGGCTTATATAATTTCGATCAGAACGTTTTGATATGATCTACTGTTTGCAACCTGAGCGATCATCTTCTTTCTGAATATTTTCCAACTGTTAGTTTTGGATCTTATTCCATATTTCAGCAATCTGTAACGCAACCGGACGAGAAGTTCCACCGCAGTTCAAAATGAAAGTGAGTTTATTTGACTAATACTACCTGCACATTTTGAGCAATACCTCATGTTTAGGACAAGTCAGCGGAAAAAATCAGACTGCGTAAGGCGTCAACTACCAATTATATTTGAAACTTGATAATTTATAATAGTTGCACTTTAGCAGAACACATCCAAGAGACCTTACAAGGAATAGCAGATAAAGATGAGCCAGGTGAAGGTAGGGTGTCCGTTGCATGTTGCTTATGAACAGAGTCTCGGTAAAGTAAGAGGTTTCATCACAACGTTGCCTGTCACCTCCCCCTCCCCTAGCAATCAGTGAAGTCCGCAAAATAAAGGGGTCCATAAAGCCTTTGCTGCGAAAACGATCCGGGCTCCTTTGGTTCCGGATGTCCCCCAGTCATCAAATATCCATCAGTGCTGTAGCGCGCATATCTCACATTATTGACTTATTATTGACGATGTGGTCCAACGGTGTCTCTACTCTTTAACCTTGTCTTTGCCAAACACTCCAAATAAAGTCATAGACTCCGGAATCATCTTTTGCACCTAACAAGCCGCATTTCCAGGACCAGCAAGACGGACGAGCCCAAGATAGCAAAATTTCGTTAGATTGGCATTTGTGGGGGCGATCTTTGAAGGCAGTGCGCATGCGCATGCATCTGAACTCTTATACAAAACATAATACCTGAAAAGGCTTTGGAAGCAGTGTCGGGAAATTTGAGATACTTTGGTCATCCGGGGTTATCCGCTGAGCTAAATTTGAAAAACTTAGCTTCTGAGAGCGGCAGCGGCGAAACCAGACTTTTCTCAATGCCTTATTTGAGTCTGGAGGATTAAAACAGTCTCCCTGCCGAAGCTGAGACGCAGAGTGCAGGGCCCTCGGTCATAGCTCTGTGCAATATGCGTGTTCTAGCTTGCAGTTTGGAATTTCTGAACGAATGAGGCTCGCCCCCCCCCACTCCTTTCCCAGGCAAATTCTCAACGAATTCTCGCTCCTGGTCCAAATGGCCTCACAGTTATGCGATGGTCCAGGGGCTTCAGCTCTCACTTGACAAGCTGAAGATCCCAATCTTGCCTAGGCACTGCCTTTAACTAATTATTGCACAAACGACATTTCGTATAATCACTCTTGGCCGAAAAGAAACTTAACGTAGATGGTGTGTCCAAGAAACTTAGACATCTTAGAATGTACTTTCTGGCATACTCGAAATCATTAGTTCGATAGATACGTTTTTTAAGATTAAGATTTCCATATACGCAACCTCTTGTTCTGCCTTCCTTTCCTGCTAATCATCATCCACATAAAAAGTTTGAGTACAAAATTCTTGACACTGTATCTGAACATTCAAATCACTGATATTTGAAGGATCTCCGGCAACTTCTCCGAGTCGTCTTGCCAAGATGGCTAAAGAACTCAGTTTCAATCTACCCAAGTTAGAGGTATTACCGCGTGATACCCTACAAAATTAATAGGCAGTTTCTTTTGCAGAAAGAGCAGCAAGAGCCTACAGATTTAACAACAACCACAACATTGCGTGATATATGGGCAAGACCAATCGACAGGTCTCGTGCAAGAAACATCAAACCTATGCAAGTTGTGGAAACGCACATACCCTCTGTCCAACCGTTGCAAGTGGCTGCGACTCAGTACTATCCTGTGCAAGGAACCTCAACACCCCTTGATGTGGAAGCAACCCAGTATTATACAGTACAGACACCAGGAAGGTCGACTGCGGACACACAACGCAGCCCTTTCTCGCAAGGAAGTTCGAAACAGAATGTGAAAAACGCGCCAGGTAAGCACTGCGCCAAACAAATATCACTCATGGAGTTGAGTAACCGTTGAGCTCTTGTGAGGACATCTGGTACAAGTCATGCGCCCTTGAACATGTTTTGTATCAGTGAACCCGCAAGGGAGTAATATTCTCTGCTCTTCAAAAGTAACGAAAAAGAATCGCATTGAACACAACAAAAAAGTGACAAAACAATTCTTAGGGCAGTCACAAGCTTCAGCTGCATCTAAGGCAACCAAATCCCAAGCATCTTCATCACTAGAAGGCAATTCAACTGAACAACAATCGTCTAAAAACAAATAAACAAATCAAAATAGTTTTTCAATTGAACTCTCAACATTTACTCAAGCATAGATAAATTTGTATCATTGTTTAATGAAGATTATTTGCTTGTCAGTTTTTAACGACATGTATATTGAAATGAGAGCGAAAATGACAAAATTCACAGAATCGCAATTTCGCAGCTTTGAGAATCATGACGAAACTAAGCACCAAGTTTGGGCATGTGGCAAAGTCAAGAAAACAAAAGTTTTCAGCGTTTGTTAACGCTTGAGATTGTTTGTTTTATTAGGTTGAAACTCTGAAACTCAGAAATCAGATCCAATTCTGAAATGTGTAAAGCTTGAGGAGTAGTTGTATACGATGAAGTACTATGGTAAAGTTCGTTCAGCTCCTTCAACGTTCTGCATCCACATAGTAGTTTCAATATTTAAGGCTAGAATCATGGTACTATAAATTTTTGAATTTGTTTAAGCATTGTTAGCAAACGTGTAGACTTCTGAGCAAGTTTAAAGACTAAACAACTTCAACACAATGCATCTAGCTTACTACGGAACTATAGAACTATATCATGGAAGGTATTATGGAACTAGATTAGTGTGACAGTGTTTTATTGTAAATTCGCTCAAATGCTCTCTGCTCCTTTACATATGAGGACTGCCACTGCCATCGTTTGAAGACACTATTATGATTGGAGAGCTTGAAATAAATTGTGCATGACTAGCATACTCTTGATTCCTAGATCCGTATGCACGTACATCCCCGCTGGAGATGGGAGGGGATCTGAGAGGAGATGCGTCATATCTCGTTACTCTAGGTATCTTTTCTTCCTTCTCGGCGGCGTGGCAGGAGTTCCCAAAGCCTAGCCGCTTTTCCTCGCAGGGGTACTTGGCACCTCCAGAATTCCCTTGAAGGACATCACACCTTCTCGGGGCCAAAGGGCGCCTCCGCCCATCACTCTTCCCTCTAGGTGCCCTCATTCTAAATTGTGTACAAGCACTGTAAGACATGCTTTATTGTATATGAGGATAATAGAACTGGAATCGAGAAACAAGAAAATTCTAGGTTTTAAAAGGTTCAGAATCCGCAGGTGAATTGCAGCATTTGGAGTTATGTTTTAGTCATGTTTTCGGATAGATTGACGCTTCCTTGAAAACTTTAAGTGCTCGCGCCTGACTAAGTTTGTGAAACATACCGCATTAATATAAATTATGCATAAGTTATGAGTCTTCCACACGGTATATAAGAAGTTAGTTTATTTTACAGTCTGCCCCAATCGGGATCAGGCCGAACCGTCGGCTGAATTTGCGCGCTCGCAGCGCTAGGGGTTTGCGCTGCATACGCGGGCTGTCGCAGAGAGCGAAGAGATTGAGGAGAGAGCAGACTAGCTAGACGCAGAAGTGATGCGAAACCCTCGCGACGCGCACTCCCGCCAAGCCAATTTTAGCCTGGTTAGGATTGGGGCAGACTGTACGCAAGTTCTGAAATCATCTAAGAATATAGCGAATTACCATATCTAGCAAATTCAGTGTCGCATTTGGAACTCTTAGTCAACTGCGATCATGCGACGAAGTTTGGTAATCTAGTAGGTCAATTGTAGGGAATACAAAATTTTTTTTAATAATTTGGGCCTTACTGATCATCAGAGTAATCGGAATGAAAAACTCTTTGAATATATGATGGCAGACGATAAAAAAGTATGTGTTTAGCAATGGGCGGGTCCTGAACTCTGAGGCCCGGAGGTGCTAGAACCCTCCTGCTCAGGCAACGGATAGGACCCCTCCGCCGGAGAAATGGCAGGGTCGCGGCGTTTCCCCAGCGGTGGGTCTCCCACTCGTCTGGCGGAGCCCTCCCATTTCTGCTCCGGAGACCTCCCATTTCTGCTCCGGATACCTCCCATTTTCTGCTCCGGATACCTCCCATTTTCTGCTCCGGAGCCCCCCGATTTTGTGCTCCGCAAGTCTGCCGCGGCATACTGTAATTAGCCCTAATTAAGCTCCAAACCCCAAGTTTGTCTAAACCCCACCCAAATCAGCCGAATACGACCCCCCCCCCTGGGTAAGAGTTCAGCGCGACCCTCAACCCCGTTCTTTACCCCCTCTCTCTCATCCCTAGCGTTTGTGGATAGAAGATAGAAGAAAGAACGAAGAGATAAGACATTTATTTCAAATTTGCAAATAAATGCACTACCACAAACCATTTCTTTCCATGTAAGATACTTTATCTACTATGACAGTGGCGTTCTCCTCAAGTTTTGACATTGCCTCTTCGAGCTGGCCCGCTCCACAGAAAATCAGTTCTGATAGAGGACAAGTTCCGAGTACTCGAAGTCGTAGGAAAAAGGCTACAATGAGGAACAGAGAGGCTAGAGTGAAATCGCGTACAATGTGGTAAAAAATACTATCCCACAAATAGAACAACACAGCAGATTAATTTAACAGCTGACTGAAGATGCTCTACCTTCTTGGTATATCTCAGGTTGTTATCAGCCGTATACCGACTCAAGCACAGGTATTGATGTTCTCATATAGGGGCCTGCAGGATCGCGAGAGTCGGACGCGCGTACGGCCTTTGCGCCGCGCACGCCTGATATCGCTGGGTCGTAGTCGATTAAGGCTAGATAGGTAAGTTTTTTTGTTTTTCTTTACATTTCACGCCTTCTTTTCTTTTCAGACGGTGAGCACATGTTGATGCGGAGGAGTTTAAGATCTGAATTAAGGTGAGGTGCAGGATTATGCTCAATACGGACTCAATATTGCAGACCTTCCATGCCTGCTGGTTGAGATGTTGGATTTTCTGTCCTGGCTGCCCTGTTACAGTAAACTGTTCTATTTTTACCGTCTATTCTACCTTATCTTGCATATTGCTTGTGATGATGATGATGATGATAATGATTATGATTGTGATGACGCGCATGATGCAAGATGAGGTAGAAGAGACGTTGCAAATAAAACGGAGTTTCGTAACCGGGCAGGCAGGACGAAAAATCGAACATAATCGGACAGCCAGAACAGAAAACTCAACATTCTTCAAAGCAGGGGTGAAAAGTCCACAATATTGGCCCGTATTGAGCATAATCCTGCACCTCACCTTAATCTAGATCTTAAACTCCTCTGCACCAACATATGTTCGCCGCCTGAAAAGAAAAGAAGGCGAGAAATGAGAAGAAAAACAAAAAAATCTCACCTATCCAGCCTAAATCGAGTACGACCCAGTGACATACGACGTGCGCGGCGCAATGGCCGTACGCGCGTCCGACTCTCGCGATCCTGCAGGCCCTATACACAGATTGAGAAGACTTTTAGAAGTCAGTTGAAGATACATGGCAGTAATTTGTTAATAGAAATCAGCATGACTTTAGCGCTTACCTCTTCGCACTACTATCTTGGAAGCAAATAAAAATGATTGAAAAAATTCAACATTGTCACAATTAAAAAGACAAAAACAAGGCAAGAACTTTTGAGATTTGAGTAGAGAATCATGAACAACAGCAAAAGTGGCACTATCCTACCTCATTGTTTTGAATGAATTCCACTAGTATATTGAGTGCCTTCTCGTAATCTTTCAAGACATGATATGCTGTGACGTAAGCAACCAAGACACTTTCTGCGTTGGCCGAAGTCGCAGCAAATGATGACGAGATTCCTAAGTGATTACAATGCAAGTCTCCTGGACTGAGTCTCCTGGAAGAAGAACCAACTTTGCGCCCTTCACAGCCCCTCATTTGTATCTGGAGTAATGAGAGATCTCTCAAAATCTGCATGTTGTCTTTGTCAAGAATTAAAGCTCGCTTGTATGCCTAAACCGGACAGATATCCATAAAATCAATAAAACAGAAAAAAGGGAATAGCTTGATTGCCTCGTCGTAGTTTTTGTCTGACCTTTGAACAAGCCCGTATACATGCCAGCAAACATAAGATTTCAAATCAGCCTGAATACAGGAATGATGGAAACACTATACAAGGAACTAAAAAGGACTCCTAACCTTCAAATCTCTTTTCACACATTCCTGTGCTTCTTGTTGCTTACCCATGTTAAGAATGAGCCCCTTTATTGTTAAGGTTTCTGTAATGCGTATCATGCGAGCATAAAATCAAAGTCAAAAAGAAAAGGATCCACCTCCATGTTCAGCGAAATTCGGATTACTCAAAATTGTCCTCGCATACTTTAGTCCAAGGCGATATTTCTTTTGTTCGTATGATTTCTGCAATCAGAAGCAAAAGACTCGGATGGGAAAAAAATTTAGTGAGGCTATTACTTAGAAATAGCTCATAAAATACTCACTATCATTTTTTGAACAGACCCAACTCCTTTGATGGCAAAGGCTGACTACTTCACTGACCCGGGGGAGCATCCGTAAAACCGAAACAAATGCTCGATAATGACATGTAAGTGAAATCGTTATCCGCGGTAGAAAAGCACAGACACTTTTGAATAAAATAAAAATCTAGCACGAAAATAGATATTAGGTTAAAGTACAAATCAAGATTTTGAGAAGAAAAAGTCTAAACGCAACCTTCATTGCGAGGAATGCAGGAAAATATGACGAATAGTTCGCCGAATAGTTCGAATAGTTAGCCTTTAAGAACGTCTCAAGATCTCACAGCGTGGCTACGCGCCAAATCGATACGCAGCCTGCTCCGGGGCCCTCCCATTTCTGCTCCGGATACCTCCCATTTTCTGCTCCGGATACCTCCCATTTTCTGCTCCGGATACCTCCCATTTTCTGCTCCGGGGGCCTCCCATTTCTTCTCCGGACCCCTCCGATTTTCTCCGGCGCGGCTCTTCCAAATCTGGCGGACTCGCGCCGGGCAAATTTCTCCGGCGCGAGTCCGCCAAATCTGGCAGAGTCGCGCCGGAGAAATGGCGTACCTTTGCAGCAGGGCCGGAGAAGCGTCCCATTTGCCTGCCAGTGATGTCACCGCGACGGACCGCCCATTTGCCCCGCTCTCATTGGTCAACTGGGTCCGGCGCGACTCTGGCAGATTCGGACTGTCCGGCGGAGGGGTCCGGTCGATTGTCTGAGTGGGTGCGAATGCTGGGCCCGTAGTAAACCTCTCGTGGTTGTCACAACATAGAGGGACTATGTCGTGATAGCTCGGAGTATCTCGCAAGACTATAGCGAGCTATCCGCAGGGCGCCGCAAAACGAGCGCCTCCGCGCGTCATCGAACCGCTGATGACCGCGACAACAGCGCTCACATGCGCTGCGCTATGAGTACAGATATGCCGTGGAGTATTTGCTTAGCAAGGCAAGAATGCAGTGTGCTATTGTTGCCAGAGCAGGTAAATCAATCATAGGAAATCCAATAACTGACCATCCTCGAGTGCGCGCGCCTGTTTCTCCATTTTTAATTCGTTATCTTATGTTTGCATGCATTATCAGGGTAGCGCAGTTGATCTATGTCTGTCACAGGATAATGCTTATTTTTGCGCATCGTGCCGTGAGAAGGAGCGCCAATATCCGCTACGACAGGACCATATTTGACTCTTCTCAATGAAATTTGGGCGTGCCAGCCACGTGTCAGCCCGTGTCGGATTCGTGCCAGCTCCTTCATAATAAATCCCATCCTTTATAACCTCTTAACTGGGCGTGCCAGCCCGTGCCAGATTCGTGCCAGCTCCGTGCCAAGGCACTGATGGTCTAGCAGCGCGCACATTCGCTGCGCTGTATGCTACTACGCCGTGATTTGCTAGGGAAAGGATACACGTAGCAAATAGAGCAGTTGCAGCAAATCAGTATGGGAAAACGATATGCATGCCTTATCCGTAAGTATTGTTGAAGGGGTTAGCTACTACTTTTGCAATTATTGTAAAACAGCTCAACAACTCAACATAGCTTGTAGTTAGCGCAGTGCCAGTGTGAGAGGCCGGTGTGCTAGACGTTGGGGGTACAAGTTCCATGCGACACTATCTTTTTTTGCTGGCAAACTGAATTTTGCAAAGGAACGTAAATTAGAATTTTCTTCTTGAAAGGAAATGGAATTTAAAATAGAATACATATTGAAAGTGTGCAAGAAAAATCAAAATATTATCATCAGCATTCAGTCCGTTCAAAAATGGGCTATTCCATTAGCCATAACGCCAGACGGTCCTTTCTCACAAAAACGAAAGGAAACGAGAGGTACATGGCTAACGAACAGCAACCAGCAAAGATATGTGGTCGAAACTGCCAAGAATGATGAAAAGATCAAGAATTTGCGAAAGTTTGGCACAAAGAAGGGACTTTTTTGCTCAAACAAGGTGCATAGCAAAAATAGAGAAGAAAAACTGCATAAGTACGAAAAATATGGCTAAGTATGAGTCTAACATACTTTTTAGTTAAAATAAACTCACCTTTTTTCAAATACCAAAGCGGCAGCAGCAGAAGTACTTGGAGAATAGGGAGAGGCGCATGGCTCGAACAGTTGGGCGCTTATCAGCTGTTGATATTGATTGTGGTTGACGTGCGTTATAGAGAACTGTGTGCATGTGCGACCTATTACGAGGTTGGCGTAGTCGAGCTCTAGTCTTGCGCTATGTCTCTGCGTCTCCATACTGAACAAAGTATTTCGTCTTCTTGTACGTCACCACATGTCGCTAGATGTCGCGATATGTGGTGACACATAGCGACAAAGTGCGAGCACCCTGACGCCTTGCATTGATTGCATCCGGCGGCAATGGTAAAGGATAGCCGCTTTGCCTGCCTCGCAGCACATTAGTCAGCACATGTCACAGCAGGCTCCGAGCTATACGTCACGACAACCGGGGGGTTTACTACAGGCCCTGGTGCGGAGTTGGTGCCAGGAAAGGTGCTAGGAACCTGCACGCCCTCCTTCCTTCTCTATCTCGGTTATGAATGTTTTCATACCCCTATATCTGCGCTAACGGATGCCAGGTTACTGCCATCCCAGCGGGGATGTATATATGTGTATCCTAGAAGTAAAAAGATCTATTTTCTCGTTGTGTCACTAATCACGCATTACTCACCCTGATCCTGACGTATAAAAAGACATACCTGCGTTAATCTAGTGATCGAACGTCAAAAAAGAAGGTTTGAATAACTGTTCCTTATTAATCTAAAGGTTGCTCATAGGAATTCAGGGAGGAGAAGAAGAAAACAAAAAGAAGAACAGAAGGGGAAAAAAGCTGTAATACATTCGAAATTTTTCCTTTAGCGGCATTTAAATTGCAGGTTTTATAATAGATCCAGGCTCTGGCGCTCCACAACGGGAAAAGCAAAAAGTTAATTTCTTCTTTGTGATTTGAAAGTGGTGATTATCAAAAAGAATATAAATATGAAAGAAATCAGTTATGAAACGTAAATTACTAGCAAGGGAATGGTCAGAAGTCGATGTGGACAATCCAAATAAGTTGCACACCATTGGCAGTATAGAAAGTTGACTCCAAATATCTACCCTATCTCCTAACACTTTTGTGGAGAAGCTATAAACCACTACATAATGCTGAGAGATTTGAGTGGAAATTGCAAATTTGGCCATAAAAAGCTGTGTTCGGTTAGATATTGAGACAAAACAAACAGCTAGGCTTCATATAACTTACTCAAAAATAAGCTGAAAGGACAATGATGAGCTCAATTTCGCTATACTTACGTACGATTCATTCCTAATCCATAACTTCGTCTACAGAGGCCTTCAGCAGATACGGAAGACAAATTTGAAGACAGCAACCTATGTGACGGTATGCAGCCTGTTTGAATTGGCCATTTCCATTTCCGACCATTCCCTTGTGAGTCGAAAGCACGTCAAAGCCAATCTAGTTTTTAATGCGCCTTTTGAATAATGAATCCCTCCTCGTAGTTTCTTTCCAGCAATGTTGTCAGCTTTGTTTTGCCTGTGATTGTGAGCAAGATCCCTCCACTCCCCCCCCCCCCCCAAGCGTTAAAGAACTGGTTATATACTAAACAATAAAGAGATGTGAACAAAAACGCACTGTTCGATGATTTTTATCAAATACTTCACCACAATCGAAGAAGTAAGCTCTGAGACGTTGTCTATATTGTGATCAGAGGCAAGGTCTATCGAATGCATGAAAAAACCGCGGAAGGGAACTAAAGTGAAGAAAAAACAATACAATTTCATAAAAATGGTTCTTGCCACATTTCTCCTTTAAATTAAAAAATGAATCCTTGCGACGTTGTCAGCGTGAGGTAGAGATCATAAAATATGATATACAGTTTGCTAGAGGTTTGGAACAATGAGGAATGTGGCATCAAAGCCAAATGGACCGTGCTCCGCTTTTCGAGTAACCGGGTAGCGCAACGCGTGGAGGCTCAGACTAGCAGAGGAGGAAGACCAAGGTCAACATGGTATTTGGGTCCGGTGGAAATCTCCGCAAAAATTCCCAACGAAACTCTACAGCATTGCATATCATTCTGATCGTCATGAGACGATTAGGAGCGTTGACAAGTCGCAAGCTTTGAAAATTATTTTTTAACGAGATAAGCTGCCATTTTCGTGCGCGACTCTCTGCGTAAGATACAAGCGCAGTTTCTTTTTGTGAGCTCTGATAGCTTTCGTGAGTCTTTGAAACTCAGTCTTGAGAGATTAGTTAGAAATTCTCCTAGCAAAACGCTTTACATTATGATTTGTTTGGAGTTGCTTTAGTCGCAGATTCAAAAGATTGTTCCACTTTATATGCTTTAGCTGTAGCCATCTCCATTTGTAAATTGATTTTTGTGGAATCTTCAAAAAAGTCTTTGTCGCATTGAGCCTAAACGTTTGTGCTGACTTCAAATTTCAGTTGTTTGTGAAAGTAAAATATGGAATAGTTTGTTTTTTGCGGGCGGTTACTTTTATGTACTGCTTGTGGACCGAAAACAAATCCTCGATGATCTTTCTTGGGATACATATAGTTCCAACTTGCAGCCGTTTTCCAAAGGCTTGGATATCGGGACCGGACACTTCATAATTCTGAGGAACATTCGCATCAAAATGATTATTGTCCAATAAAACTTAAGCTGTCGACATATATCTAGATTTTTTGTGCACACTTAGTTCCTCAGATTGAAAACACATAATTACCAATACAATATTACCTTACTACTCCATTTATCATGGGCACGGCATTTCACTGCGAACATAGCACTCGCTTAATACTGTTTGCTTGTTTGGGAGCACTTTCTGCCGTTTTTCAAGTATGTGCTTCAGCGGAGATAAGTTCAAAATGTTTTAAGTATTTGAGATTGATAGTCGGAAGATTTTTATCTTAACTGTTAAAAAGCATGGCCTTTAACAATTTTTAGACGTTTATTACCACCAATTCGAGCCTCATAATACTCTTTTTTGATGC